ATAGATAGGCCTGGTGGTCTACTTCTGAAAAATCATCCCCGGAAAACCAAGTTGGGGATCATAGATCTTCCCTGACACACATGGGGTCACCCTAAGTCCATTTGACTCCTGGGCAGCCGGTAAAGTGTAGAGAAGTCCCTCAAAATGATTTGAAATCCAAAATCTCTGTAAATGTTCATTAAAATTAATAAAATATTAAAAAGCAACAATAAAATTATCATTTAACGTAACAGTAAAATCCACAATTTCAGAAATTAACATTGGTGTCAGATTATTAAATGAAATATGGATCTTAAATAAAAAAGGTATCTGTGATGCAGTCACCTGCCGCCCAGCTAAAGCTCATCACCAGGCCCACAGGGCAGCGCAGGCTGGGCCGGACAGGGCATCGCCAGCCAGCCCGGGGGCCCGGCCTCTGAGGTCAGAATTTAACAGTGGTGAGCACATCTGTCCTGTGACCACTGAAGAATGACTGTAACACTTTGAGAAACGAGGCCTGGGAGGGTGGTGAACATGGCAAGCTTGCAGGCAAACACTAGTTAGAACAGAGCAGCCCGAACGCGAGCTCCCAGCCCAGCCCCCTTGTCCCCTTGGGCACCTGAGGAAGCATGATGGGGCCCCAGCAAGCCTCCACCTGCTTGGAGCGCAGGGTGAAAGGGAGGAGCCCGGAGGCCTCAGAAATGGGCGAGCCGCATCCAGTTTATCCTGGGAGCTTTCTTTTCAGAGAGGAGCTGCTGGCCTGCTGGGGTAAGCTGGCCATTGGTGCTCACCAGGAAGGCGGGCTCTCTCCCAGCTCCTGTCCCCTGATGGAGGAGGAATGGTGGGACTTAGATTCTGTCCCCATTGACCTCTGCAGTTGAGCCGGCAGCTGGCCTTTGCCAGGGACTTGGCTGTGGTGGAGCTTTTGCCATGTGACATCTGTCCCAGTAGGAAGCCTAGAGCAGGGCATGCTTGAGTCAGACCTTGCTTTGAAACTGAGCCGAAGAGCAAGAAGCACGCAGACAGCCCTCTGAGTTCTGCAGGGAGGTTTATGTCTCTGCTTCGTAATGACTCAGACTCCCCAGGAAAGGTCCATGCTTTTGAGTTCATTGTCAGAAGTCAGGGAGGAAGTTTAATTTTTAAAAAGACTGCTGTCATCCTGGATTCTAAATGGCACCCCCAAATATCACAACAAACTTTCTAAACAGAACCCCCAAATACAAACACCGCAGGACCCTCCAGTGAGTTTTCAGAGGCAGTTAATTAATATGGGAGGAAATTACCCATCTTTCTCCTGCAGAGCAGTTGGTGAATTTGAATCGCACGCCTTTGGGATTACAGTGCAGTTTGTTTCTTTTAAATAAAATTTTTTAATTGTGTTTTTAACAAACATTTACAGAAAAGTTAGATTTTTTTTTAATTCATTGTTGCACATTTTACCCCCCTCCCTTCCTTCCCCCTCTCCAAGTTACTATTTTAAAATGCTAGTTTATTTACAAAATTCATATACATTGTTTTTGAGAATAGATTCTTCCAATTTCCCTCACCCCCTCATCAGGTTATACAACTCCATGATCAATCGCCCCTCCCCCTGCACATCCTCATCCCTCTGCTTCCACCCTCCCCCACCCCACTTGGGTCCTTAAACTCATTAATAATAATTTTATACAATATTTAACCTTGTGGAACTGAGTTAGTTCACTCAGCGTAATAATTTACAAGGTCATTGCTCCTGTGTGCTGTGTAGTATTCCATTGTGTGAATGTACCATAATTTCTCAATCCATTCGTTGTGGTTGGACATCTGGGCAGTTTCCACGTTCTTGCGATGGTGAATAACATGGCTGTGAACATTGGTGTACAAATCTCCGTTTGTGCCTCAGTTCTCATTTTCTCAGGGTATATTCCAAGAGGTGGGAATAGCTGGGTCATATGGAATTTCTATGTACAGGACAGTTTCTTAACGACTAGGTCACAAGAATTCCCTAAAAAGATTGCATTCATAATGGTTAAACCCCCCACTGCCACCCCTATGTGAAAGCAACAGATTTCTCCTTCGACAGTGAAACTTGTAGCAGCTACCTAGAAACCTGGATTTCACAAGTGACTTTTGTCAAGTGTTGTGGTTCTGCCAGGTTTTCCCAGAAACAGCAGTGGGATTTCACAGTCACAGACTGCAGAGGAAGCCATGAAACCTTGGTGGTCCAACATATTAAGTGGTGGTCTCCTCACTGAACGGTCTGGTGTGAATCCACCTGTTGTTCCACAAGAGAATTGTGGACAGACTTTTGTTACTTGTTTATTCTGAAATACAGTTAGGTCTGTCTAAAGTACATAGAAGAGTAACCCTGCTGGTCTAGCTGGTCTTAATTTTTTTCACTTAAAAAAATACGGTACTAGTTCTCAAACTAATGAAAATTCCCCATTAGGACTAATAAGACTTCATTTTCATGAGCATGGAGTATCGCTTTGAGTTCACAGATTAGAAGATATTTTTAGAGATTTTAGTACGTTATTTTTATTGTGCTACCTTCATCTGTCCTTGGGGAGTTTATTAAAATTGAAACCTGAGATTTTTCTTCTGCTGAAAAATCTTTGATAATGTCTTTCTTTTCTGGTATGAAATCTTGTGTATAATTTTTATCCCAGTCCTGGAACTGGCCATTTCTCCAAGGAGGCCTGGCTGTTTTTATTGGGAAGCTGAATTTGTAGACTAAAGTCTAGTCAACTTAGTGCTCTCCACTCTTTAATTTTTTTCTTGTGATAAAGCTAGAAAAGAATTTTTTAAAAGACAAACACAAAATTTGTACACGTACTTCCATATTATATTTGGTATAATGCTTTCACTTGGTGTTTTACCATGTTTTTTCCCCCCATTTTCTTGTCTTCCTTTCTTCTGTAACAAATCTTAATTCTCAATGATCCCAGCACGTTGGATCGGTTGCATAATCCTACACTATGGAAACCACCATTTATAATATGACCTATAGACGCAGTTGAAAACGCACGGGTCCCCGCCCTCTCTGGCTAGGTGTGTCTCACAGGGTCCTACTGAGTTTCCGAGTTTAATGCACTTTGAGTAGTTCTTTTCTAAATGGTTATGCTGATCTCTGGGTGGGTCTATCTTAGGCACATATGCAT